CTTGATATTAAACGTATGTACGATGAGAAGTTTCACCACGATGGTAATGTAATGACACTTTCTAAATGATCTGTGGAATCAACGGCGATATGGAAAGTAAGAAATATTAGTATCTAATACACCTAGTAATACACAGAAATCAGAAATCAATATACCTAACTTTATTCAAATTGGATGTGTAGTACAATTCTGTTGAATCTACCAATTTTTTTTTCCATTACCACTCGTTATTAGGCATATTTTTTAGCTGCGGAGAAACACGAGCAGAAAAAACTCCACAACATTAAAAGTCATATCATCATCATCATCATATCAGCCGTACGACGCCCACTGCTGGAGATAGGCTTCCCCCAAGGATCTCCACAACGATCGGTCCTGCGCTGCCCGCATCCAGCGTTTTCCCGCGACCTTCACCAGATCGTCGGTCCACCTTGCAGCGGGTCTTCCCACTGAGCGTCGTCCGGCACACGGTCGCCATTCGAGAACCCTTCCGCCCCAACGGCCATCGGTTCCCCTCGCTATGTGTCCCGCCCACTGCCACTTCAGCTGTGCTATTCTTCGAGCTATGTCGGTGACTTTAGTTCTCCTACGGATCTCGTCATTTCTGACTCGATCACGCAGGGAAACGCCAAACATAGCTCTCTCCATTGCCCGCTGGGCGACCTTGAGCCGTATTAAAAGTATAATATAACAACATATAATGTTGTTATAACTAGGGTCACCATCCGTCCAGATTAGTCCGGACATGGCCGGATTTTTAGCCTAAAGTACGGACTTTGTCCGGATCTTTAAATTGTCCGGATTTTTTAAATTACATTGAATATGAATAATAAAAGTACATACTAATTAAAATACCATACCATTGTAACTAAGTGAGTAATGGTACCATTTTGTGACTAAAAAGTCCAGACTGTTTTCGAAATGTCAGGATTTTTGTTAGGACCTTTGAAATTCTTAAATGGTACCTAACCCTAGTTATAACGTCAATACAATCATGATTTATTAAATATAGAAAACCTGTTGGAATGATTGGAACAGTTCAAACCCAAGCAATATAATCAGACTAAATATAATGTTAACTATAAAATTGATTGTAACTATATATTTATATTCTAAATGATGTAATGGAAGGTGACTTCAGACGTATCTCTGAAGTCTTTTTTCAACTTGACGACTCTGTATATAACAATACAGGGAGAAAAAAACAGCCCTTGCCGGCTGCTTGAGTTTCTTGCCGGTTCTTTTCAGTAAATGGTCTCCCGCCGTAGTTTTGCGAACCGATGGCGTAGCTTATTGAGCTTCACAAGTGCTTGTAACAGCCTAGACTGAATAAATAACTTTTCATTTCATTTCAGACACTTTTAATAAGCTTTATAAATAAGTTTGTTTTTATACCATTTTTGAATTTATTTATACATATTTTGTTGTCGATTTCAAAATTCTTTGTCGATGCCAAATTAACGGTGACGGTGACGTGCAGCTTCTTTAAATAATAATTCTATGCCTGTGGTAGACTAACTATTTACATCATCAGCTAATGGATGCCCACTGCTAGATATGGGCTTCTAGGGATTCTGTCCTGAGCTTTCCACATCCAGTGGGTCACCATGACTCGCTTGAGTTCACCTGTTGAGGTGTTTACCGACACTGCGCTTCCCACTGCGAAATCTCAATTGAAGCATCTTGGGACCCCAACGCGGAAAGACCCGCTCTGTCACCCATAATGCCATAATCGCTTGCGGTAGCGGCGTAGTAAAAATTCATTCATTGATCGCTGTCTTACTTTTTCGTATAGCGCTGTCGCGATCACGATGCGGATGACAAATTGCAACTAAAACAAATGCAATTCAATTCATTATTCAATCAATGAAATGCTCTCTGACTTACTTTTGTGCGGCGGCCTGGATTGGCGCGTCCGATGCGAAGGCGGGGGGGGGCGTAGTAAAAACTACTGTAGAAAACCGTTCAAAGCATTTTGTTCGCCAAGTGGCAGAGCGCAAAATTCCGCGATAGTACCTACAAATTTTGTAGAGTTCCGTTCTTGCCCAGATCCGAGTCGCTCATAATCGGTTTTTAAGAGGGGAAGGAAATACAAGGCAGTCCGTTGAAGAAGTACCTACCGTTACTTCTTCAGAGGGGCTGCCTTGATTTTCCAGTTTACAAAAGACCACAATAACCTTTTGGTGATATTTTGTTTCTGTTCGTTCCGGGGCTCCAAGGGTTTTAATAGGGGTAGGAAAATCAAGGCAGCCCGTCTGAAGAAGCTACGTTACTTCTTCAGAAGGGCTGCCTTGCTTTTCCACTTTACAATAGACCATAATAACCTTTTGGTGTTGTTCTGTTTCTGTTGGTTTCGCGGCTCTAAGGGTTTTAAGAGAGGTATGAAAATCTAGTCAGCCTTTCTGAAGAAGTAACGTTACTTCTTCAGACGGGCTGCCCTGATTTTTCACTTCACAAAAGACCACAATAACCTTTTGGTGTTGCTCTGTTTCTGTTGGTTCCAGGCCTCCATGGGTTCAGTTCAGGCAGGCAAGCTGTGTTTATGAAATGAAATTATACATTATTCAAATTGACTGATTTACTTATTGAAAGCTTTTTTCAATTGTCCAATATCTTCTTCCTGCCACTCATTCAGGGCAACTATTAGCTGATGAGAAGAATGGGCGCTAGAAACCCATCAGCATTTCACAGAAGTAGCAAGCAACATTTACAAAAAAAGCGACGGATTGCACTCCGGGAGTGCCTGCAGAAGTGAAAACTTGAATATTAACGTTGTGCATTTTTGATATTTAGGAATGGTAAGGGAATAATTTCGCACGAATTGCTTTAATTATCAGTACAAAAGTAATATCATTTATGTGTTAGAATACAATATTTATTTATTGCGCTATTGAACACAAACATGACAATTTATATAACATTAAAAAAGTTTATCTCTCAGAAAAATCAACTTACATGAATCACGTTTAAGCGCACATAGCGACATCTATTGTAAATAAATGTATTTTCTTCGCAATAAAGCTGCCACGTGGACGTCCTAGATATAGACTTATTATTATAATACGGTAAAATAAAATGTTACTAGGTTTCGTCCAACATATTGAAAGTCAAAAACCTTTCCAATTTTATTGTGTGTCATGATGCAATTAGCCCACGTGTTTAACCTGACGCGAGTTTAACATTTTGTACCCATACAAAAAAAAGTGTACAACGCCGCTAAAGAAGTTTTCACTTCAAAAATCTTGTCGCTACAAATACAACGTCCACTCACATTTTGATTGCTGTTTCATACATTATAAATACAAACGGTGTTCTATAAGGTATTAATCATTCAATATTAGGTTTAATGGATAATACATCTCAATAGTAACGCAGTATAGAGCAGACTCATCTCCGCCGGCGGCATCCATTCACGAGCAATGCATTGATCGATTTGATTAATTCACTGACGATTCTGAAGGTACATTTCTAATACATGGTACATTTGTAGGAAATAGTTTTCTAATAGGTAAGCTAAATGTAAGTAATTCAGTAGGAAATAAATCCTCAACTTTGTCAAATAAAAAATTTCAAATATAATTGATGTGATGACCTGAAGACAAAAAATAACAATAATATATTATAAATAATACTGTTAAATGGGAAAATAATTCTTCTTAGCCAGTATACTTTGCATTCTAATACTAAAGAGCACATATTTAATGTTAAATTAAACGTTAGCATCTTCGGTTTGGTTTTAGTCAGATTGATTATGTCACCCTCAAAGATCACATTATATGGTCATAGCCTACGTTTTATACCAATTTTAACAATTTTAGTCAATAATCTAGCTTTTTCTGAAAGCGAAGCTAGAATATTTATACATTCACCAATATCATACAATGTAATATTATATTTATGTATCAATTCCATCCTGTCTGATTCGTTCCGGACACACTCCATGAACTACATCCTCAACTTTATCACACTCCGTACAATTTGATGAGATTGTTTTACCCATTCAGTGAGCAAATTTATTTAATGGGATGTGTCCGGCCCGAAGCCTCATTAATGTTATCAAATCAGGCCTAGCTAGTCGTATATCCTTTCGTTTGATATAGTTCCGTATTAAAATCGTGAAAACTTTTTGTGCCGAAATTTTACTCGCGACAATGAACGTGCATTATTAAAATGCATTCCATTACTTGGCCACGATGTTGCAATAAAAATGTGGATTATGCCGCGTTGCGCAGATAATCCCGTTTTATGACAATGTAGGGGGGGGGAAGATAAGTGCAATATGTTGTAAACAACGTTATGGTAGCCAGGATGCACCTCGCAATAAAGTTATCAAAGAGTATTAGCGTCCATATTGTGTTTTATAAATGAAAATTACGCGCCGTAACTTTATTAACCTATCCCCTACCTTACCCCTACTACTTAACTGCATTCATATAAACATGATGTGTGTCATTGAAACACAATTTTATTGATTGTTTATTACCGCTAACTAAGAAAATATCCCCGTAAGGAACTTCAAGTCAATAAAATTAATCTTTACTAAGTAACGATCCCGACAGGCCTGCCTAACCGCAGCATCACCTTCAGAGTCCAAAGGTACATCTAAACCAAAAATAAAAAATAAAAAAACGGTCCAGCCGTTTAGATGGTGTCCAAATAGATACAAAGTTACAGAAGGTAGTACTTAATCTTACAAATGGCAAAGTTAGCATGTTGTTTATAACTCAATCACGCAGAAACTGCTGAATGGATTTGAATGAAATTTAGTACTCGTATAATGTAGAATCTGGATTGCGACATGAGATACTTTCACCCGGGAAAAATGTTAGGTTCTTGTAGGATTGCCGAAGAAAGGAAACGTGGACGAAGTCGCGGGCGTTCGCTAGTTGTAATAAAGCATTCAGCATACAGTCAATGCAAGCAAAATTGTGCATTACGGACATTATGTTTCAGATCTCACGTCCGCGCGCTTCGAATGGCAAGAACAGAATGACCTATGTTTGAATTTAGAATCGCCAAATTCAAACATGGGTAGCGGGCTCAGTAGCGCCACCAGCCGAAAGTGGTCGGAGCGGAAGGAGGCGCCGCCAAACGCGGAGTCTTCTCGGGTGCTTTTCCTGTTGTACCTCATCCATAGGACTTGGAATGTGGTGGTTGAGCACGTTGACTCAAAGAGCGCGAGGTAAGCTATATTGTTTTTGGAGTTTACTCCTTAAGAATCGATTTGCATATATAAGGGGCCCGGTATGAGAAAAATGTGATGAGTAAAATCTATCGATGAATGACCTCGTTACGTTTTTGGTGCGCATCCTAAGATGACGGATCTACAACAACAAAGATGACGGATTGACCTTAATAAAAATTTTAAAATCTGAACTGAATTTAGATATTGTTTCTGATAGAGCAATGGGGACAACGAGGTATGGTACAACCATTGATGCGGTATTTTCAAGATTCGTGAACCACGTATCTACGAACGTCCATGTATCTTATTTTAGTTACCATAAACCACTTGTCACTGTAATTAATAATGCAGACAATGTTGATTTAAGTAATATTTAAAAAAATGATAATAATAATTACATAATTTATCAACATTCCTAATGATATATTTATGCACATCTGAAATTGACTATTGTAAAAAGTTTAATGTAAAATATTTCGTCGATTAGTTATAATAAATGTATATGAAATGAATAAATATATATTTATATATGTATATTATTTTCATTAATTTGTTAATTTACCCTTTCATACAGTATCAATCTTTTTTAAGTTAAATAAACTCTTTTTGCATCTGGTTAGACTATCGAACTTAAGGAGTAAACTCCAGTCGTGCATCGGAGCTGACACACACAATTTTTTTTTCAAGATCTAAATTCGAATTTTGTTGGAGAGAATGCGTCGGAAGGCCCAAGCACAAGTTTTTGACAGCACCGTAAAGTAACGTATTCATAAAATGTTGTATGGAAAAAGCTAGTTTTTACTTATAGGGCCGCTGTTTAGTTTTCATAGAAACTTTGGCGATTACGTTAATCTACAGAGTCGTCAATTACGAAACTCAAAATTGGTATATGGTTGTTGTATATTCAATTCTTCTTCATATCCATAACATTTGAATTTGACTCGCTAAAATAAAACCTAATCGTATTTAAATTATCATCATCATCATCAGCCTATTAATATCCGCACTGCTGGGACACAGGCCTTCCCTATGTATTGAATAGGGAGATTGGGCCAGGACCCACCACACGAGCCCAGTGCGGATTGGCGGGTGCTAACGACTGCAGATTCAGCCGGGACCAATGGCTTAACGCGCCTTCCGAAGCACGGAGGAACTCGAGATAGTAAATTTTTGGTCACCCATCCAATGACCGACCACTGCGAAAGTTGCTTAACTTCAACGATCGCAACCCAACGCGCCAGCGAGCTCCTCTATCATCATTTCGGAGTAATTTGCAGTGCCGTAGATAAAAGGTTACAAGTTTACTTAATCACGATTGACTTTCCGGAAGGCGAACAAAAATATGTACCTAGTTATAGGAAGGTACAGTAAATCGTTTATTTTGACGGCTTTTTTTTATCGCAGGTTCCTTATAAATAATACAGCGACAGAAGATGATAAATCAACACTATCGGGACAGTTTTCATTAAACTTTATGTCCCACTGCTGCTACTGAATTAATGGATACTTTTTTGGGGTTCCGTACGTCAAAAGGAAAAACGGAACCCTTATAGGGTCACTTTGTTGTCCGTCCGTCCGTCCGTCCATCCATCCGTCCGTCTGTCAAGACCGTTTTTCTCAGGAACGAGTGGAGGTATCAAACTGAAATTCATATCTAATACTCAGGTCTACTGTCTCTTGGAGCTGTGAAAAAATCAAACTTCTAAGCCAAAGCAATCAAAAGACACAGCCGTTTATGCCGCAAATTTTCGAAACTCGCACGGGAATCAAAACCTACATCCCGTGAACTTGAAATCTTGTAACGTCTAATAGTACAGATAAAGGAAAAATTGCCAAAACCGTAATTTTTTTAATTACATCATATATATTTAATAATTATTAAAATATACCTAAGTGTCCGCACACGGGCCACACACCACAGCCACAAACGCCGCCACGAGAAGCTAGAAGCGGCTTCTAAAGTGGCTGAAGCGCGCTACAGCGGCCGACTAAGGCAAGGGAGAGAGGGGTGGGGAATCGCGCGAGTGACGTGTGGCGGCGTTTTGTATCGGCGCATTAAGTGGCCGGTGCGGGCCACAAGAAACGAGCAACGAGGATTTTGTTGCGTGTGGCGGTCACCGGCGTACCGTATGTGGCGAGTCCATATAAAATTTATGAAAACTACAAGAAATATGCCGGTGGCGGCGTTTTGTGGTTGTAGTCGATGGCCCGTGTGCGGTGACACTAAAGGTTTGTACGGAACCCTCGGTGCGCGAGTCCGACTCGCACTTGGTCGGTTTTTTTTATTAAAACATTCCTTTCAATGTATATTTATGAAAGTACTACATTTATGAAGCTGTTTCTGTTGCTTGTGAATTTATGAATGCTTATTTTTACTTATTATGTGAGTTTATTCCTATTATGATGCTTATTCATGAGACGTTAATACAGTTTGTGTCAAAGAATCTTTGACATTATCTTCATTTTGACATGCATTCTAATTTGACATTATGGTAACGTTTTTGTATATATCCATTACTATATTTTTTTTTCAAAATGTGACTTAGACATCTCATTTATCAAATTATAATTTCAATTTAGATTAATAGAAGTACTTAATTGACATTGTTAGAATAATGTAATTAATAGTGAACTATATGAAATAACATTGCATGTCAACAAGACAGAATATGGCTGAACATAATATAATTTGTATACTTGTACACAACAGTATAACCTGTATTCGCAATAAAAAATATTTAATCTTTGAATTTTTTTTGAAAAAAAAACACATCAAAGATAAGCCCATGTTTGTTTTAGTGATATTTCTTTTATTCTCCAATCATCCTGACTCGTTTTAAAAGGCAATAAAGAGCGAGGCAGTGGTATTGGTGACAGTGATCAACTACACACAAGTTTTGAAACCTTTAAAGTTTCATTCTTTTCCTATATCTACTGTTTGTACGTGAACCGATGTCGCTTGCTCGTCTCCACTACACTTCCACCTTATACATATTATATACGCTGAACGTTCCTACATCAATGGATCTTCTAATTGCGAACACATTAACAAGTGTCCATGTGTTTGTTACCGTAACAATGTGCGTGCTTCTCCATCTTATTAGGAGCACTTTAAATAAAAATACAGGCCAATTAGAACACCACGGTTTGAATTCGAAATTGGAAAAGTTACAGACTGACAGATGGTGCACTATAAATATGGAAGCTTCGGTTAGTGAATATATACATTTTCACCGTTTCGAGAAGAGATATTTTAGAGTTTGCGAACTTATTAGCCACAAATGTCATGTCGTTTAATGCATCAACTACTACATTGTTAAAGTTGGCTGCGTCTTAGAAATTTTGCAGGCGTAAATTAGGTTCACGTGCGTTTTAATCCCGCAACATTATATTGTTGGCTTGGTTCAGTTCTATTGTTGGCTTCCATTGCAAACTGGAATTATGCAATGACCATTCCTTTGTTGTATATTATGTTATAAATATTTGCGGTAACCGTTTCTTAATATTGTATATGATATATAGCCAAACAAACAACGCGACATCAAACGATCGATCCAAACAGCGCTCACACCCAAGCTCAACGACGCAATCAGAACCAAGTTTTGGTCAAGTTATGAGCATTTGCTCACACATAGCTGTGGCGCGCCTGCCCCGCCCAAAAGGCCCTTTTAACCTCTATCTAAGTTCGATGATGATGAGATGGTCCCTTCACGACACAAAGAAGTAACTAACGAATAAAGATCTGCGATTGTCGGAGTCGAAAGCAACTTTTGAGATGGTTAGTGACGAGATCGGTGAAATGAGCAAAAATTTATAATCTTCAGCCTCTCCATGCTCCAAGAGGTACGTAAAGCCGTTGGTCATAGTAGTATCTGCAGACGCTACCCATCAATCCACGTTGGGCCCACGAGGTGGGTCGTAGCCCGATCTGCCAGTTCTATCCACAATGATAATGTGTGCTCCAGCAGTGCGACAGAAATAAATTAATTTCTGTGGGCAGTGTGGAAATTTATAGTAGGCTTATGATGATAAACGAACAAATAACTCCAGTTTGGCTGATGTTCAGTGTAAGTGCAGACGAGGCGCTATCTTTGGTGCAGCATAATATTTAACTCATACAACCAGCCACTTTCAAAGTGATACTTCTAGGCTATCCTAAAACCCCTATTGCAGAAAAAATGATACACGTTCACGGGTAAAAAATTCTATGAATGCATAGTTCGACAAAGAAATAAGTCACACTTTTTGGAAGAATCGACAGGTTTAACCCAACAACCAAGTTCTGTGGGCATTGTTTAATCCATTCATAGCAAAATATAACCTTTCTTCGTCAAAAAATACCTAGAAGCTACATGAATTTCTTTGCAATTTCCAGATGGCGCGGGTCCCACACGGTGCCCAGCTCTGGGGAAGGCCTGGACGGGCGGTACGACTCCGTCAGCCTGGCCGATTCCGACCTGGGCTCCTGCTACTCCAGTTGCAGCTGCAGCTACTGCCGCCTGAGGGAGTGTGCACAGGACTGTGTCAGGTAAGACACGTAGATTCTAACGCCATCTTTCCATCGGCAGTGCCCAGCTCTGAGAGAGGGCTGAGCATTGGGTGGGTCCTTTCGAATCGGACACTCACTGGTGGGGTTGTGGATGTATCCGTAAGGGTTCCCATGGCCTCACACAGTGCCGCTGCCTCGTCGAGGGGGGTACCACCTGATGGTGGATCCAGTCCCCGGGGAGTCCTCGGCCCATCAGTGAGATGAGGGGCATCGTCAGGTTTTTAGTGGGTAGGGTCCCGTTCCTCTCGAGCAGCCGCCGAGCCAGCCCTAGGACTGGTTGGGCGGGTGTGCGAGGGGAGGAGGGGAGGAGTCCCACATAACCTCGCCGCACTCCCAAGGCGGTGGGGTATGCATAACGCATTTTCCTGACGGTACGATTCCGACCTGGGCTCCTGCTACTCCAGTTGAAATTGCAACTACTGCCGCTTGAGGGAGTGCGCGCAGGACTGTGTCAGCTGAGACATGTAGGTTGTGACGCCATCTTCCCATCCGTTGTGCCCAGCTCTGAGGAAGATCTGAGCGGTACGACTCCGTCATCCTGGTTGACTCCAGCCTGGACTCCTGCTATTCTGGCTGCACATACGCCTGACTGTGTCAGACACAAAATTATTAATATTATATTACAACATGCGAAACTACAATTAGTTTAATAAAGATTTCGATATAATGGTAAATTTAAGTTTAAGTTAAGCTAAGTTTTTGTTTACTGGGAGGTGGATATTAAATACCAGATACTCGTTTAAGTGGAAAACCCATTAGACTTCAGTTATTTCCCAAGTTGTGGCTAGAAAAATATATTTTTTTTTACATTACAAAGCCTCGCTTGGTGGCAGATCATAGTGTTTTGTCATACGAGTATCTCCCGCAAGTTGGCTATATTGCAAGCGACGAGGCTATTGAGTAACTTGTGCTGGTTCTAGTATGTCTCTAAGTTTGGTACTAAACTTTACGGCATTAGCCTAAATGCTTTTAAGAAAACAATCATCATATTTAGCTACCAATATATTAAAATATATATTCAGTTATATTCATAATTATAAAGCTATAAATAGTACCTACTCACACATTTTTTTCTCTTTTTTCAGGTAATAACTTTTTCTTAGGCGTCCCAAAGCTTAGAAAATTCTTTCGAAATGAGCAGAGAGGAGTCCATCTATACATATCCTTGCAACGCCTAATAGTGAAGAAGGCGTCACGAATTTTCCCAGACACGAAAAAGCTTTTACTATACATATACACTGGAAAATACGCAGCGGACGCATTCAATGTTTCTTGACTCTCTCCCAGTCCAAATTGGGAGACAGAAATGTCAAATTCCGAAATGCCACTGAAGTTTCATCATCATCATCGTTAGCCTATGCCCCTACTGCTAGGGCACAGGCTTTCCCTATGAATATCAGAATAACGAGATTGGGCCGTGACCTACCACGCAGGCCCAGTGCGGATTAGTGGATGCTAACGACTGCACCCGACCCGACGGCTTAAGGTGCCTTCTGAAACACGAAGGAGATCGAGATAATAAGTTTTCGGTCACCCATCCAATGACCGACCACTGCGAAAGTTGCTTGACTTCAAACACAACTTCGTTTGGCAGGCCAAACCTACGCCATCAAGCTGCTCACTAACCACTATAGTTTAAACAATGTAAACTTGCAAGATTTTGCTGGCATGCGAGTAGCAAGTGAGCATACTCGGAGCTATCGCAAGATTAGCTCGTTGTACAAACACTGGTTTGATCTTAAAACAAAGTTAGGAACAGTATGCAAAATATCACCGATTTTTATTACCTATTACTTTAGTCAGCAGGCAGTTGAAACAAATGATCAATGCCTTGAATCCTACTATCTTATATTATATTTTCTCTATTTAGGATATTTATCTAATTTGTTTTTAAATTTATTCTTAGACTGTGCTGAAACCACTTCTGCGGGTAATTGGTTCCAGGCTTTAACAACCCTGTTACTGACGAATAGTGTCCTTGTGGGTTATTGGACGATTTGGCCCGTGGGAGTTTTAGATGATCTCCTCTTAAATGATATATTATACGCGAATACTGAAACAATTCTTTATCAAAGCTTATGAGATCATAATGTCCATGAATGAATGAATAACTTTATTGCACACCATGAGATTGTAAATTACAATAAATTAAGACTATTACATTATAGAACAAACGACGGCCTTATCGCTAAGAAGCAATTTCTTCCAAGCAACCGCATGTTAACTGGACTGTTACATAGAGAGTGGGAGTAAATGGTGTCATTTAAAGTGAAACTACCATTAATAATACTTATAAATAATTATGTACAACAAAAAATAAAATACAAATACATAAACATAATATATCCATAATTAAACACAATAACAATTTAATCATACTTTGGATGATGTGATGACTAGCTAAAGTGTCAAGTAATGTTCCTTTAACATTTTTTTAAAACAAGGTAATATTTTAGCACCTCTGATTGTTTCCGGCAAGGCATTCCACAAAGGAGCAGCCTGAACTACAAATGACTTGTCCATAAATTTCGTTGAGTGCATTTGAACCTCGAGTGTTAAATTCTCTGACGATCTCAAAACACGAGCATGTGTATCATGCAGGAAATTAAAACGGTCCTGGTCCGGTCCATGAAACATTTTATAAGCTTCTATGAAGTCTCCTTGCTCCTTTAAGGTTGTCAGTTTTAGCATATCAAGCCTCTCCTCGTACGGTCTGTTCTTCAATTCTTTCGGTACTTAACAAAATGTTCGCTGTACTTTTCCAAGTGCTTCAATATACCTAGGTTACACTGAAAATGTTTAGAAAATGAAAAATGGCTTAATGTAGAAAGTTGCCAATACTTTTATTGTTTTTCGATGTAACCTCCGTTTCTCTCTACACATCGTCGCATTCGATGGAACCACTGAGAACAGCAGTGCGCCCATTCTTCCTTAGGGGTCCCTTCTATGGCATTTTCGTACGCTTTTACCGCATCTTCAAGGCTCGCAAAGCGAATACCTCGAATTTTATCTCGTCGAATTTTTCCAAGACAACAGGCAAACAGCGATTGGCATTCCATCTTCTAGCACAACTGTCCGAAATGACCTTTCCGATCAATGAATGCGGCAATCGTCTTTTTTACTTGACTTCTTCCTTTCTTTACTTCAGTTGGCCGATCCTCGAAAGGAAACACCCACTGAGCTGATTGTCTTTTGGTTTCGGGTTCGTAGCAATATACCAGCTTTCATCACCTGTGACGATGTCAAATACAGCATTTGAGTCACCGCCGTTGAACTTATCTAACATTTGGCGACACCAGTCCATGCGAAGGTGTTTCTGGTCGTCGGTTAAAGTATGGAGAATCCATCTGGTACAAAGCTTCCTGACGCCTAAATGTTATAGCTATCATAGCTTTGTTGTTGAGTAATCCCACAACGAAAGTCATAATAAATCATTTTCTCGCGTTAGGTTCATTTTCACATGTAACAAGAGTTTTAGATTTGCCGTCAATTCACAAAAACAAATGACAAATGAATGCAATATACCTACTACATTAGGTTACCAAAGAGTCGTAAAATTGAAATTCAAAAACAGTTTTCATTAGCAATGTTTCTAACTGGCCAGTTCTAAACATTTTCAGTGTTACCCACGTACCTTTTTAATTACGGGCTCCGGATACGAAACCTATATTCCAATATAGGCAATACTTATGTTTTGTATATTTTCAGCATCATTTCAGATTTTAAATGAAGACACTACATTTTTTATAGCTAGGTATGCAAATGACTCTACTCCACTAGATGTTAAGTGGTGATAAAATCCAAACATTTGTGTTCATTAAGCTTTTGAAGCCACTTCTTTGACTAGTTCGCTATTCCATTTGTCTTGACGTCTTCTATTAGTTTCTTATGTTGCCATCTTAAGCAACTGTCGTCTTGTCAGTCGTCAGACGTCAAATTGCCGGGTATAGAAATACTCCTTATGTTACTGTGCCCCTTGATACACTGCCCTCCCCCCCCCCTTGACCTTATTCTGTTATTTATCATTAAAATAGGAACCTAATTAAAATATCAGCTTTAAGGGTTTCTTTTAATATACACATAGAATGCGTCAATATTCCTGAATAATTACAGTAGTTATGTATATTTTTGGTCTTGAATAGATCACAAAAGATTTGGGTATTCCCCATTAGGTCATCAAATAGGTCTCTCTCTAACTTTTGTAGTTAATATAGGCAAAGTGATAGCAATAGCCTTGGGTATAATAATATTAGTGTGTAATGAACTTGAACTAAGCGCATTTTAAGTTTTGACAATCAAATGTCAGCCTAGCCAAAAATAAATGTGACATTGAGCAAAAAATTATTGCCTACGCAGTTTCGAAGCTGATTTACTAACCATCATTTCATGTGTTTTAAAAATTATTGCACAACCATAAACATATATCAACAACAGACCGAAACTTATAACATTAATTGGGCCGTTAGATGTGTGTGGATGTATAGTTCCCAGATCTTTCTCTCCTTAGTTCGTTTTCTTTGCGCCTTTATGCAAAAACCTCTGATCTTTCCTTGCTGCAGATATCATTAAAAAGGGGTAGGTACAAAGTTCATTTAAGGTATTCATCATCATCATCAGCCTATTAGTGTCCCCACTGCTGGGGCACAGGCCTTCCCTATGGATGGAATAGGGAGATTGGATCATGAACCACCATGCGCGCCCAGTGCGGATTTACGGGTGCTAACGACTGCAGATGCAGCCAGGACCAACGGCTTAACGGGCCTTCCGAAGCACGGAGGAACTCGAGATGGAAGATTTTTGGTCACCCATCCAATGACCACTGCGAAAGTTGCTTAGCTTCAATGATCGCAGCCGAACGCGCTAACCACCCGCGCCATCGAGCTCCTCGGTTTACGGTATTATTAAGGAATGATTAAGGGACTCATACTACCATACTACGGGATGCTTTGAGGGGGGGGAGATCTTTCAAATACAACGCT